TGTTTGCAGAAGAACCAGTCCTGAAACACCCAGACATGGACGCACCTTTTGTGGTCCAGGCTGATGCCAGTGATGTGGCAGTGGGGGCAGTACTGCTTCAGGCAAATGCACAGGGGAAATTACAACCCTGCGCATACACCTCTCGCAAGCTGACCGACACTGAGAGACATTGGGCTATTTGGGAAAAAGAAGCTTTTGCTGTTCGTTGGGCTTTGTCGACCTGGCATCATTTTCTAGAAGGCGCTAAACACCCTTTTGAGGTGTGGACTGACCACAAAAACTTGGAAGCATTGAAGACCCCCAGAAAACTGTCTCCCAAACAGATGCGCTGGGCACATTTCAATAGGTTCAATTTTACTTTGAAATACATTCCAGGAGGGAAGAATTTTATGGCTGATGCTTTGTCCAGACTTCCGCAGTACAACAGTTCAAAGCTCAGTGTTGTCCAACCTGTCATTCCCACAAGGAGTCTGGCTGCTCCGGTAGTCACCAGGAATCAGACAACCTCTAAGTTAGAGGTCACACCAGACTTTATCTCTGAACTAAAGGGAGCCCTGGCAAAGGATGACTGGTTCCGGCAACATGTGAATGAATGCACCATGAAAGATGAATTGGCTTGGATTGGTGCAAAATTATACGTCCCTGCGACCATTAGAACCGGCATCCTCCAGCGGGCTCATGACTCTCGCATGGCCGGACACTTTGGGTTCGTCAAAACCTTGCATCTCATCAAGAGACAATTTTGGTGGCCTTCAATGAAAAAAGACGTTGAGTCTTACGTGGCTAGTTGCCCCATTTGTGCCACTGCAAAACACCCTCCGGGAAAACCCCAAGGGTTACTCCAGGCGGTAGCTCACCCGGAAGCCCCGTGGAAGGAGTTCTCTATGGATTTCATTGTTGAACTTCCGGAGAGTCAAGGAAATACAGTAATCTGGGTTGTTACTGACTTATTCTCCAAACAAGTTCATTTCATTCCTTGTTCCAAGATCCCATCCACCAAATCTCTGGCTAAGATGTTCTTCTCACATATATATCACTTGCATGGGGTGCTGGACCACATCATTTCTGATAGGGGTGTTCAGTTCACCTCCCTGTTTTGGAAAGAATTCCTGAAACTGATTGACTCCACCCAGGGCTTAAGCAATGCAAACAAAAATACAGTAAGCTTTAGTGACATTTCTAAGCTACTTTGACCTATTTCATCTATTTATAAAATGTGTGGTTAAGAAACAGCTGTTCATGTAAGTGCTGTAGGCGTACTATTTTTCTCCCTGCTAATATTGTAGAAACCTATATGCATATAAGGTTTACAGATTTAGATTTCTAACAGCAGAAATTATGTGACCCTTAACTGCTGTACATTTCACTACACATTTTATAAATATACACTTTTGAGGGCCTTTGATAATACACATCAAATGAAAGGTGTGGAAGAGATTTGAAAAAAAACTACTGAAAATAATCAGACATCTGTTTAGTGGAAGCAACAACAGAAGACACAGCTTTAAACAAAGTGGACACTATTGTTCTGAACCCCAGGGGTTCTGTGTTCTGCTGGGTGACAGATTGGAGGCTACACATGGACAGCAGCAGTTACATATAGCTATGCAAAGTTTCTTTCTATTCCAGCAATTTTGATGTAGCAAGATAACTATTTTCTTACTGCTATTTAAAATGGGGATGCCAAGATTTTACTCTACGTTGCTGAATTTAATGAAAGGGGCTTAATATTATAATTCACACTTCAATGAGCCTGATGAAGATTGTGCTGGGGGAAAAATGAAACTTAAAGAGTGACAGTCTCACGTCTTCCCCAACAAAATTAGCTTCATATACAAGATATATATTTTAAATTCTAGTGCAACATATCTAGTTAACATCTATGAACAACTGTTTGAAAAACAAGTTTGACTTTTAATACATTCTACATTAAGCTAGGTAGTTACCTAATAGAATTTTTGCACAAAAAATTAGATTATTAATCTTATAGATAAATTTTATAGTTTCCTTTCAATAATTTTGACTTTAAATTGTACACCTTTCTTTGAATCTTGTTAAAAGTTAATGTTGGATAGAACTGGTCTTGATATCTATTTTTTCTTTTTGCTAACAGTTCTTTGACATAGATTCTAAACATCATTATCAATAAGTGCATTAAACAACAGATGCGCTCTACATGGGGCTGCCCCTGAAGAGTGTTCAGAGACTACAATTGGTCCAGAATGCAGCCGCATGAGCGATATTGGGTGTACCAAGATACACCCATGTCACACCTATCCTCCACGAGCTGCACTGGCTTCCTATCAGTCTCCGAACGCGTTTCAAGGTGCTGGTTACCTTTAAAGCCCTACATAGCCTAGGACCCGGATATCTGCGAGACTGTCTTCTGCTGTATACCTCCCAAAGGGCAATAAGATCGCACAGGGTGCGCCTTCTCCGGGTACCGGCGACCAGACAATGTCGTCTGGCAACCCCCCGGGGAAGGACCTTCTCAGTAGCCGCTCCGACCCTATAGA